ACACACACACACACACACACACACACACACACACACACACACACACACACACTGGATGGACTGTTCGAGCAGATTCTCTGGGCTTTTTTAAATGCTTATTTAATGACTTCAGGTTCATACATTAACCACACACATAGTTCCACCTTGGGCTGAGTCATATGATCTTGAATCAAAACTGTTATTAAAACTGTAACATGTTACATACATTTTGTTTTGCCGGGCCTGCAGCGCTTTTTCAAATTCTTAATTCTGTATTTAGTGGTGAGTGAAACAAAACTCTATTGTGGATACAATGTATCTTTTTCTTCTCATAGTTCACCAGGTTTGTCTTGAAAAGATGCTCATATTATGTTTGTGGGTCACTGGAACAATTTTTTGTGTGCAGTTTTTTCTGTTTGTTGTCGTCTTTTTTGCAACACAGATATTTTGGGTATGAGTCTGTCATGTGAGTGTAGTCAGACATAGCTTTCAGGCTTTGTTACTAGAAAATGTTTGAAAGTTCAACTCAAAACTTTCTCCTCCAAAGTTACACAGCAAGAGGTCTGGGCTGCTGGGGGATTCCCGTGATGTACTGAGTGTTTCTTCTTTAGTCATCTTTTCCACTCACTATGTATTTATACACCTCTCTGCATTTAATCATTAGTTATTATTAATCTCTGGCTCTCTTCCACTGCATGTCTTTTGTCCTGTCCACCACAACCGGTCGTGGCAGGTGGCTGCCCCTCCACGAGCCTGATTCTGCTGGAAGTTTCTTCCTGTTAAAAGGGAGTTTTTCCTTCCCACTGTTGCCGAAGCGCTTGCTCAAAGGGGGTCATATGATTGTTGGGATTTTCTGTTTACTTTGTATTATGGTAGGGATTTCACCTTACAATATAGAGTGCCTTGAGGCAACTGTTGTTGTGATTTGGCTCTGTATAAATAAAATTGAATTTAACATATACAAATAAAAGATCGTTGGTTACTTTAGTTAATTAAAGGTTAACTAGTTTTCTGCTCCTGCATGTCACAGTGAGTGAACAGAAATGTCTGCAGCCTTCTTCAGCTATCCTGTGGGGATTACTCAGTAGCGGGTTTTTAAAATCCATTTTCAGTTTTCCTTAAAGACAAACCTTTGAAGTATTGCCTAGCTAATTCTCAGTTAGTGGGGGGTGGTCTGTTAAGGGCTGTCATCAAGCTAATTGGTTGGTAATTTGACAATGGCCCACTCAAACAGCATGGGGGAAGATAAGAGTGATTCACTCTCCTTTTCTAAACACGTTTGATATCAGAGTTGGTGTGCTTTATGCCCTAGCTGTCTTTCTCTCTGCCTCACTTTCTGTGCTGCTTCCCTACTTGTTTATACTTTGCTCTCTCTCATGTCTGTTTTTCATACTTGTTTGTGTTTTTGTCTGCTTGGTTTCCTCTACCTTTCTTTTCTATCATCATCTCTCTTTGTATTCTGCCATCTGAATCAATTTTCTGTCTTTATTGTCCTCCCATCCTTGTCACTCTCTTGATATTTTTCTTTTTGCCCTCAAAACAGTTGTCAGTGTTTTCCTATCATTCTGTGCCTCGTCTAGTCCTGCCTCCCTCTCCATATGTATGATTCTGGGAGAAAGTGGAAGCTCACACTTGAAAGCTTGAGATGATGAAGGAAACATCAAAGCCAAGTCGCAACTGTCTTTATGGAAACGCTACAACAACACTTTAACATTATAAATCTACTAAATAATCAGTCAGTAAAAATAAACAAATCTAATAAAAATAGAATGAAAAGTAAAAACACCATCTGTGGATAGAATATGTGGTTCTCTGTCAGCTGGAAACACGATGTACTTTTTAAACTTTTGCAGTATCCGCTTATGGTGGAAGCTGTGTTTAGATTGTTCGGCTTAGATTTGGTTTCGTTTGACTTTTTCTCCGTTTGAAGTGTTGGTTTTTCATTGCACTTGCAGCTGCAGGTGTTAGAGTTGTTGAGGCATTTCGTACCACATTAAGCATAAAGGCAACACGCAAGGCTGCTTGATACTTACCTTCATTATGATTAGCATTGTTTTTATAAGTATCAAAGAAAATAACTTCATTTCAAAAATATTCATTTAATTTGAAAGATTTAACTTTTGTCTGCTTCCTGTAAACTACAAAGAAGTTTGTACCTCTAAATTCCTACAGGATGTTGTAAAGTTTACAATATGCCGCTTTTAACTTAGACATGTTGTTTCCTTGTCACGCTGAAAGAACACAAAGAAGCGGCAGACGATTATAGCCCCAAATCATGTTTTTCAAAGAAATTTACTGTTTGACAATGTAGGAAAACAAATGATGATTATTGTTTTAGCATTGATTGCAGCTTGCAGACTGGACTAGACTGGACTAGTGCAGACAAAGGGTATAAATAAAAGGTATTGTTACTTTCAAATAAATTGCTGTCATTGATGAATCAATACATAATTGAATTTGTGAATTCTCTGGCACAGGGTGTCAGCATAAATCAAATACGTAACCTTTCAAATCTTCTTAGAAGTCTTCTGCTTTTTAACCAGTTGCTTAAGTTCTCTTTACCATTATGTAATCACAGCAGTAATTTCCATCCACTGTTTGCTCTTCCTGTAATATGAGCTGTAACTAGCGAGTGCTAGTTATAGACATGCTTGGTGGAATCATTTGTTTAGGGTTGTGTTACACATTACCATCTGTTAGCATCTCCTCCTCACATGCCTTTGTACCCTAGTTGCACTCGACAGCATGTTTTTGCCCGAAGTGGTGGAACAAATTGGTTGTTTCCACCTTTAGAAGGAACAGTTTTCTTGCATATTTTGCAAAGTACTGTGCGTTAAGGTCTGACATCTTTTAGGCAAACCACTTAATTTATTAAGGTAGCTCTTAAATTGTTATTGGAGTCTACAATACTGTTCTTGCTCTCAAGCATGCTTGGGCTTGTGTTGTTGTGCTAGGAAATGTAAAGGCAAGACATCAACATGTCATTGATTTCGCAATATTACAATTTTATATGACATAAACATTTATACTGATATAAGCAGGGATGGTATGATATGACACAGCCTTAGTGTGTATTTCCCAAGGTACTAAAATAAAGCAGGGTCACTTAAGATTCTTATTTATATCAGTGGCTGTTAATGAGCATAATGTTAGTTGAGACAGTCTGCAAAGTAATACTCAACTTGTTATTCTGGTATTTAAGCTAAAGAAAGAATTACATTCAGAGTCGTGTAATTATTCTGCAGTCGTACTAGCTTGCTACTGCTAATTAGCACGGTTGTTAGCCGGCTTGAAGTTAGCTTAATTTAGCTCCTGTGTGTTTTGGTCTGCAATGCTTACCTGGTATGTACACTGCCCGCAGGGTACTAATTTCACATCTTCTTGTGTAGCGTTTTTGCTTTGTTTGGTTATGATTACTAAACCGAATGCAAGCAAAGCAGAAATCTTCTGTTTGTCACTGTCTTAAAGGGTGCGGTTTCTCTTTGCAAGCTAAGGATCAGCACAAAACATTCCACATGTACCTGCAGATTGTCCACGCTAGTAGAGCATTGGCTAAACCCGAAGACTGTGCATTTTGTCACTCGGTCCGGGATTCAACCCTGGAAAGACAGGTGACATTTGTGGGGGAAGTGCTGTCCTGTCACATGGCACAACCCTTCCCTCTCCGAGTCTAGGGTCCCAGTTATTTGCGTCTCTGTACATCTAATTGGCAAATCTCAAATATGAAGGCTGTAAAGTTGATTTAGCTTGGCTACTGCTGCTGCATCTGCAAGCCACTTTGGAACCAACATTGACCCCAGCTCCTCCTTCTCATGCTCTGTGCGATCTAATCAGTGTTGTGTCAATGTGGATTCCTTCTCTCTTCTGTGCTAGGAGTCAGGAGTCCTTTTTTGCTTCCCACATATCCTTGTAAAAGGACAGGAAGGACAGACATAAACTGCCACTGGAAATAATTATCTTCTTTTGACTAAAGTAGGCCTGACTGAAGGACTCTAATAGTACAAAAAAAGTTGCAGCTAATTAGCATGGACCTGGCCTTGGGGTATGTGCTCAGTGGTATTCTGCTATATCCACATGGGACAATCATCTAGTCTTCTCATAGATGAGTGTTTTAAACAACAACAACACAACTTGTGGTTAAAGTTCATTAATTTGAAGTTTATTATTACACAAAAAAAAAACCCAAAAAAACATGACAGACTTGAACTTTGCTGACTTTATTTGTGAGTATCTGGGATCAATATCTCATCTAGTGACAAAGGCAGCTTAAGCTTTACACAGATAACACTATCTGTGTCTGTGAATCTGCCCTCAAGCTTTATCAAACCACATAACAAAGTCCTTAGCAAAATTGATCTTGACTAACCTGTTTTCTCTCAAGAAAGTTCTTTCCTTGACTTCCAGCCTTACCTTGCCAGTAGATGTTTGGTAAATGTTTAAACAGAAGGACGCCCAAGTTGAAATGCAGGTTGCCGTCTTTAAGCCGCAAAAGATTGACGAGGTGTTCATATTTGTCCCGAAAGTTACACAGAGTTTGGCTGTTCCGATATAATAAACAGAAGTTAAAGAATGCAGAGTGAGATTAAAGATCTTTTTTCATTTTAAGGATTTGGGGGTGATACAATGGCTTTATATTAAGTGATAGATAAGCCTGTTTTATCTTCTTTTACTTTACTCAGTGCAATGTTCATCTATCTGAGGTTTTTCTCTTCATTTCAGCAGATGCTGTTTAAACTGTATTTAAGCCTAGGAGAAGATTCAGAAGATTGGCATTTAAGGAAAGATGGGACAGTGATGAGCAGGAGTGATAATTCAGAAGGAGTGAGTTAATAAAGAAGGGGACTACATGACAGGAGAAGGAGAGAAAGTAATGACCTTTACTTTTAAGTGAAGACAAGTTAATAGTAATTATAATACCGATAATAAGACAGATAGCTAAAATTCTCAAGTCAGGGTTTCACAACAAGGCTTAAAAAATCACTGAACAACATCTCAGTGTCTACATCCATACAGTCTATCCTTGGATCACATCTGCATGATGGAAGAGACCTTGAATACATATTTGCTAAATCTATTGATAATCCCATGAGGACAACTACCCTTTGATCAAATGAGAGATTTAACTTCTTTCATGCAGGAGCACACTTATGTAACATTATGCATTCAGAGCAGTAGCCTTTTCAGCTCATCTCAGTTTTATTTCTATGGAGCCAATTTACATGAAAACATCTTAAGATGCTGAGTTAAAAGTTAAAGACCCTACAAAATTGTAGCGAGAACCCAACGATCCACTTGTGCTGTATTGTGTGTGAGATGGGTTTCGTTGCTAGTCCTCCCTATGTTCCCCATTCCTGCGTCATGCAATCAAGGGACAGATAACTTAGGTTGTCAAAGTTTTTGCCAAAGCAAATAGCACACCAGAAAACTTTCTCTACAAAATGCACTTCTAGCCCTGGAATTCAGCCCTTATAGCTCCTCTCCTCCAGGATGCCCTTTATCAACTTGCCTTTTTACAAGCACCGATTCTATTTTTAGTTCAGATTAACACCTGGAGCTTATCTGCTGTAGATGGTCTCGCCTACGTTTTGATAGAAGAGCAAATTAATCATATCCACTGGGGATTTTTTCAGGTTCTCCGTCTGTGTGATAAAAGAAAGCTGCAAAGAAAGCATTTTTGTCATGTTGAAACCGCCCTTAGTGTGGAGTTTTAGTCCACTGTGCCACAGCTAATTTTTTCTCTGTATTTTCTGTCGTATTTTAAATGATATTAAATGGATATTACCAAAGCGTACACAAGCAGACACTGTTCCTACTTGAGCTTCATTTACCTTATTTGTGCATTTTCAATCCTTGAAAATCACGTGATAAACATTGTAGACTGTGCATACTTCAAACACGGCCCAAACACGATGTGACGTACACACTGTACAGTTGCTACAATGTCGCTTCGTTTAAATCTTTGAGTCAAGAATATTTAATAGTTTTCTGTGTCCACTGTTACTCTTATTATTTCCTTCCTCTAAAGTGGTCAGGTTATTTATCTATAGCATACTGGTTTATGTCGTGGAGCTGTATACTTGCTTTGCTGCCCTATAAAACAACAGTGCACCACTTTATTCACTATAGGCAGACACATGTGCCTTTTTAAAATTCATATTCACTGAGCACACAATCAAAGAGCCATTCAGAGAGATTGAAAGGCATGTGTTTGGTTTTTTTAACCAAGGCCAGAAAGACTCACATTTCATGTAAGCAGATTAGATATGGAAATTTGGAGAGAGACGGCGCTGGTCTCCAACAGAGAATGCAATGCATGTTGAATAAACAAAAATTTCCATGCCATTTATTTCATTGTTCTGACCGAGTTGCTGTGATTAAGCACATAAGAAAGGGGGCATATGTTAAAGCGCAAACCTGAAAAGGTAATATTTGAGTCCTAAAACTATAAGTCCAGAATAAATTGGAGTTTTGTGATAAGGCTAACAAATATATTTTCAAGATTCTTCACTCTCAAGGTTTTAGCATAGTTTTTTTGCTTCAGGATGATAACAGAGAAGTTCAACCTATTTAACTTTTCTTATCTTCCCCTGTAGACAACTAGAGCTACACTCTCCTGATGTCAGGCACACTGTGGTGCTGCGTTGCCCAGACCAACCATCTGCCCTGTCGTGGTTCTCCGCCATGCACTCTGTCACATCAGCACTGGCACAGGTCTGTCTTCTACGTGAAATATTACACCAGTGTTTCTCAGCACTCGATATTTCAGTAGATATAAGTGAGCCTCTGGAAATGTCTTTGAATGTTAAGTTATGCATATTGAACTATTTACCTTAAAAATGATCCACCTTGCTACAGCGGGTGCTGCAAGAGGTTATCCAAAACACAGCCAGGGCAGGAGTTGCTGGCAGCAAAGAGATACGACACCTAGGATGGCTTGCAGGCAAGGTAGGAGTGCATTACTCACACTGTGGGGATATAAATTTGTCTACTCTGGGGTGGGACAGCAAATTTCTATATCAGTTCTTAATCAGCTCTTGATACATTATTCCAATGTATTTTATGATGGTTAATATATCTGGAATCTGAGTTAATGCCCTTATGAGATAAAGCATCTGTTGTTTGTGTGCAAAGTTGTAAAGGGTATTTTTTTAAATTGAGTCAGATGGTAGAAATCCTTCAAAATAGTCACGTAAAAGCAGCATAAAAAGCCATCTGTCACAGAGAAGGGGGAAATATGATAGTCAGGTGTAAATGTCAAGAAAATCGTCATGCAGCTGCACACACTTGTACACAGAAAACGACAAAAATAGTTTGCTTGATAAAGCAGTGGCAGTATTTACTTGTTGCATACTACTTGGAGTTGTCAGATTAACTGTTGGAGAAAGATAAAGCAATAGGTTAATCTGCATGTCAGAAAGGTGTAAATTAGTGAGGCGGTGTGCCTGGGAAAGGGGCCCAGATGGTGTATGAATATATGACAAAGTATTAATGTGGTGTGTGTTTGTACTGTGTATACATACATGCAGACATCTGTGCAGATATCTCTGCACAGATGTCTGCATGTATGTATACACAGTACAGAGATATCTGCACGCCCACCAACATCTGTATCTACCTAATTTAGTCCTCGTGAATTCGACAGTATTTTAATCTTTTAAATGCAGCACAATACTGTTACTTAGCAACATATTCTGATTATGTTAAAAATATGACCCTTGACCCTCTAAATCCCACGATACGATTGGATGAGGCAGAACTTCAAAGAGCAGCTTAGGATTCCGTGGCTGTGCTGCAGATAAGCTCTCATAATGAGAATAGTTTTGGAGCATTGTAAAATGAAATACCACACTCGGTGTGTGCGTGCTCCGAGTGAGGGGTTTGTAGAGATGAGTAGCTGAGGGGGCACCACTTAAAAAAAACCTGCAACTGCACACCAGCCACATTTATTTTGGGTGCACAATAGTGAATCTAGACATTTCCTGTGACAGAACAGAACAGCCTTGTGAACAACTATTACAGATTGCAACTACACACACGCTCACACACACACACACACACCAGTCTTCTCTGTTACTGCCAGTGATCAGCCTTATCAGCACTCTCATTTAAAAACACAAAGACAATCTTAGTATTTGCAAAAACCACAAGAGGGAATAAGTATTTCTAATCGTGCAGAATTGATGTGATCAAATTTATATTGCACAGGTTTACAGGATTAACTGCCTAGTTAATCTATTATATTAGAATTTTACTAATTGATCATTTAATTTTGAATTCATCTATCAGGTTTTTTTGTCATCAAATAATATTGCTAAATTTATGTCACAATGCCTTGCATACAAAGATATTGACTATATGGGCCAATAGCTGGAGCCTTTGTCGTGTGGATAATCCTCCTGATTAGTGCAGCTCTTTAAAAGACTAATTTTTATATATTTATATGTCAGACCATTAAAGGAAAGCTGTCATAGTCTCGTTGTTTGTGCTGCAGACAGAGAGTGAGAAGCAGTGCTGGAAGCCGGTGCTGGTGGTGGTGACAGAAAAGGACCTGCTGCTATATGACTGCTTACCACGAGGCCAGGAGGCCTGGCAGAGCCCTACACACACTTACCCACTTTTAGCAACGCGGTAGGACCCTCATAAAGAGACTGACTTGCAGAAACTTGCACATGCATTAATATTGGGCCTTAAACATTCAATTTGTTTTATGATGACTAACACTATGGTGTTGCTTTTTTCATTTAAAAATGATTTTTCTAAAAATACTGCCAAGCTTAAGAGCGTATATTGAATTTCTTGTCTTTGCTAAAAGGCTTTGTATGTGTTTATTTAGTCTGGTCCACTCAGGCCCTGACCGGGGGTCGCCGCACTCTGGCACAGAGCTGTTCTTTGCCACTCGGACTGGCACACGACTTGGCATTGAGACTCACCTGTTCCGGACTGAGACCACCAAGGACCTGTCCCTGTGGACCAGACACATTGTGAATGGATGTCACGCATCAGCTGAGATGATCAAAGAAGTCTCTACGAGTGAGTCCCGCTACACAGCACGCAAACATTAAGATTAAGTGATATAATGCATAAAAAACATAGGAAC